GGGGGGGGAGGGGAGGAAATCAAAGACCAAGAATCATCAAGAAGCAATTACAGTTGTTTGAAGTATCTATTGTCGTAAATCAACAACCAGTTGCTTCTTCAGAACGGCATAGTAAACCTTTTTCTTAATTTTCTAGCTCCATCTTTGTTGTCTACCTAGCTCCTCCAAAGTATGTTCGTCATGAACATAAATATTCGCCTCCGTGTCTACATCGGACACTTCATTTTCTTTCTCTGAATGTCTGATAACTTCAGGCATGTCTTGATATCTTAACAGCTTCCTGTAATCAAGGTTTTGTTGTCGTCGCAAGTATACATAAAGATAAATATACTAAACTAGCTTGAAATACTATTCAACTAAGACAACAGAGTCAACTGAGGCCAACTCTTGATATCTTAAACAACTTCCTGTAAAGGTTTTGTCGTGGTCGCAAACTGATCAGTTATACACTGATAAAGACAAGTAGACTAAACTAACTTGGACAACTTGAACACCAGTATTCAACTAAGACAACATAGTCAAAAGAGGAACGCCCCCGAGAGCAAAAGCTATGATACTATAATAACCTAAAATAACTAACAAGGCCCTGACTCGAATCAAAGCTAAAAATATCCAATTAACTAGCTCTTTAGGAAAATGATCGGTACTTCGGAACAGAACCGACAGCCGACTGACAGGTGGAAGTAGTGGTAGGCAGTCTGAAGTACGAATGGGACGACTAAAGTAGCTGGTGTTAAACGCCACAAATCTGCACAGGAAAAGAAAGTCTAAAACCAAGAATCCGCAAAGGAAAACGAAATAAAAATAATAAAAAAAAAAAAAAGCCGCACTTTTTGATTAAACTGCCAAACAGTAAAAATGTGGGGTTTTTTCCATTTCACTCAAGCGAAGACAAGCCCTTTCTTGCGAAAGGGTAAAGAGTTCCACAGGCGTCAGAGGAAGTAGAGTTGAATAGCGCACTGATGTGGTGATACCTTACACGATGCCCATCCCCTTTGAATACAAATTCCTTTATCCCTTTGCAGTATCTATGTTAGCTGTACTACTGCTTTTTTCTGTTTTAGCACGCGATGTAGCATGGACATAAGTGAGATAATTGATTTTTGAAAGGTTTTTAGATTTCTTGTTCCATAAAGATGAAACAAAATAGCAAAATAAGTGGAATAAATTCACAGATCCTCACTATGTACCTTTAACTGTTTCCTTCTCATAAGAGCCATGTTTTTCATTATTTTTTAAAAATAACTGCGTCAAAGCAATCCTTCGGGTATTGCTAGACTTTTAACATCGATTTTAAGCTGAAATACTGAAGACATTTTTTTCTCGATCCGACAATCCACCTAAGAAAAGTCCAATCCAAATGGTAAATCCAGATCCTTATTTTCCACAATTTTGGATTTTGAGGCAAAAAGGAACAAATTCAGAAAGAGGAAGTGAAATAGGTATCAATGTTGTGATTTGTTTTATTTTTGTCCTAAGAAAGTTATGGTTTTAAGAGCATCAAAAGTATCAACCCGCAAGCTACTTTACTTACACCTTCCTATTCCCCAGGGGACGAGGGAGCCACAATTGAATTTAGACAGAAAAAAAATTCGCGCTAATTACTCTGCAGATTGAAAGAAAATTCACGGAATAATAATATTAAATAATATTCAGCAAGTAAGGAATCAAACAATTTTGAACTTGAACCATAAATAAAAGGAACGTCTTACTCTTCCTTCTCCTTTTCTCACCTTCTTCTTGTTGTTCTTCTTCTTGTTCTTCTTGTTGTTCTTCTTGTTGTTCTTCTTCTTGTTCTTCTTGTTGTTCTCTTCTTCTCCTTCTACTTCTATTTCAGCTCTTCTTCTGATATTTAGCTGTTTAATGACGAAATACGTCCAGCTTTCGGCCAATCAACATGATCGGCTTTTCAGATTAATTCACAATCCAATTAGCAAAAATCCCGATTCAAGTTAGGTGAGTTTGACTGAGACTAGTCGTCTGTCGACAGACATTTGATCCAAACAGCAGTACGACTGCTCAAAAATATATCCCAATTTCCTTTTTTATTTCCAGCTGTCGAAATGAGCCATCCAAAACGATATATGTAATTAAGAAGTAACTTCTAGTGTGCATTTCGTGGTCAATAATCTTTAATTCAATATTTCTATTTGATTAAACAAAAAGACATGGACTCAATCCCAGACCGCTTAATTATTCTTTACTTCATTTTAGTGAAATGTTAAGAAACTAAAGCAAAAATAAATAGAGAATTCGAGATTAATTAGGGAATTGGCAAGAGGCAAGTGTCAACTGATAACGCATACCGGATATTCGATTTCAGCCATATCTGAAGGCTGAGGGGAAGTCAGCYGAAAGGCGCGCGAAGCCACTAAATGCAGTAAACGGCAACAATACCTGCACAAATTTCGAAAATCCATTTTACTGCTTTTAATCGTACAGGAAATTTATGCACCGATTTTTCACAGCAAAATCAAATGAAATATTCACTAAACTAATTATTCTTACCACGAAGTAGAGAGAATAARAGAAAAATATCAAATGCCTAAGGCAATTATATATGTAATTATAAATGTAATGTAAATGTAATTATTCCTACCACGCTCAGTAAACGAGTCATTAGCAATTGATCAATAAGGCTTAATTAAACCGCTTGAATCATTCAAAAAATCGAGCTGTCGATGTTGAAACTTACTCCGGATGGAATTTCAGAAACTGTCTGTTTTGGAAAAGCTGTAGCATAAGCATTRATTTTTATTTGCCAGTGGTAATTGATGGTAAAAGATGGTAACAAAGTGTTATATGAGAATCAATGAATCTTAATTTGCGTTACTCGTTTTTAAGGTAATTAGAACTATAATATTTTGCCAGGGCTCCCATTGATAGCAGACCTTTTATTATTTCTGTAGGGACTACCCTGGCTTTAATTATTTTCAAATAAAGGACTTTTAACATCGATTTTAAGCTGAAATACTGA